TGTTTTCAGAGATAAGGATTCCTACTAATCCCTTCGTAGGCTTCTGTTCATGACCTATAACGGCTCCGTCATGCTGGCTGTCGCTGTGGGTGCATTTGTTGGTTATTTGGCTTTCGCCGATGGGACCTCTGCACAGAAGACTGTGGCTTGCCATTAATTACTATCCACCTATTCCGTCTCAGCGTTTGTAGTTATTTCATAGCTTGGGCGAATATATAACGCTCATACTAGCATTCCATTAATCTACTTTATATCTAATATCTGTGTCCGAGTCCCTTTTACGGGACCACGAGATCCGAATCTCCGCCTCCATTATGTTGCGTGGGTTCAAGTTCAAGTTCATTGCGTCGTATGCATTGTGTTTCTAGATGCGCTGGAATATGGTAGGAAATAGAAACAAAAACACCTCTTGAACCGGGCATGGTGGGCATGGTTCATATGCAGTCGCCAACAATTTTATGCGGTATATCATTCACGGTACTTCGGCATCGCTGTCGTCTCCGAATCCAAAGCTGAAGCCCCCTTCCGCACTTTCGCTTTCAGGCTCACCTTCTACCTTCCCATGGACAATCTCCTCCCACTTGCGCTTTTTGCCATCTGCCTTCCGCTGCAGCTCCTCCAGTGCCTCTTCAAGGAGCTCGGGATACGACTCACGCATACCGTTAACGAATGTTTCGTAAGGATTGGCAACGTTCTTCCTGAAACCGGAGACTTGGTCGGCCTTATTGGACATGAAGTCCAACGCAGCTCCAAGATGCGCCCGGGGAATAAAGTTCTGCGTGATGGCAATTGATGGTTCCAGATTAACCACCAGGTGCCACCAACCCGATGGAACATGTAAAATCTCACCCTCGCCACAAATGCCTTCCATACAGCCTGCAGTTCGTCGGGCCTCGGCGTGGAAATTCAAAAGCCACTCGGCAATGCTGAGTGGCGAAGTGACCTCGCTCATATCATCCGATACGTACACACCAGGAGGCGGGGGTCGCTTGTCACCGGACGGGAACATGATCCAATATTTTGGTCCGCGGAGGACGGCGTTCCAGGCGCTTGTAGCGTTGGGGTCTTTGTGGAATTTGCTACCCGATCGCTCGGGTCCGACAATCAGCCACTGGTGATCGGGCCGGTCGCTGCCCACGACTGAGAAAAGATCCTCGGCGAAGCAGGCTGGTGGCCAGTAGGAGGCGTTGGAGGCTGTCTCGGGAGAACCGACTGCTAGCCCCATCTTGGAGACGAAGCCACGATCAAATAGGTACAGAGGGCTTTCGTCCGAGTTATCGGCCATGTAGTCGCCGTATGTCCGCAAGGGCCAATCGACAGCCTCAGCGCGGAATGTGCTCTGGCCGTAACGGCCTAACAAGGTGCCGACCGTCCAGTCTTTGTAGACCGGCCAAGACTTGACGGGTTCGGTCAAGACGAATGGAGTGTCAGCCCATTTCTCATGGAATTCTTCTGGTGAGAGGTCGGTAAGACGTGGAATTTGGTTGCGTAGAGGAATCTTGGTCACATAGGGATCCAATGTGATATGGGCGCAGCTGAAAGGTTGGTAGAGTGCATCGGAATAAAGATGGGAACAATCAACCACGGGGACCTTTGTTGCGGGTAAATTGAGGTAAGTAGATCTCCAGGTACCCCTCCATGTAAAATTTTCTGGATGTGACCTGTAATATTATAGAGTTAGCAAGGGTTTCTTCAGAGCTCGCGGTGAAGCAGTGACTACTTGAGCCGCATCCACCTGGCTCCGCTCTGGCCCCCCACGGGTATAGTAGTATACTTCCGCGGCTAGACCTCTCGTATATGAACTTGAACTTGAGCATGAAAGCAAGAGTGGAAAGATAATCTTACTCAACAAAAAGAGCCTTCCAAATTTCTTCTGCCCGGGTGAATGCATAAAAGGCCTTGCATGTACGCCCAAGACGTAGTAAACTGTGGCCATCCAGACCTTCCAATAGTATCAAGATTAATTCATCTGGAAGTAGTTGGAATGATCCGATCGCATCACGTAAACTCCATGTTGCTAGTAATGCATTTCCACTCGGTTTGACACCCAATGGATGACATGGGATAGCTTCCTCGTGATCTTGGTGATCCCCATCTTGGGCTGGTGGATAATGTGGTAGCGTTGTGATGTCAGGCATTGTTCCCGCCACTTCTGGTTTAGGGCTTCAAGATTTTTTTTTCTTTGGGGGGGGGTTATTTTTCTGCCGGTCCGAGCACACCCAACAACCACTTGCACAACCCAAGTGAAAAGTAGTGAATGAGAGTAAAAAGGAAGTGAAAGAAAGTTGACTGAAGTAAAAAGAGCAATCAGGAAGTTCTTAACCTTAGGAAGGTTCGATGTTCCTGCATCCACCCCTCAAGGAAGGAGCGATGGACCATCCGGGATTGCTTCCTCGCTTGGAGGTGGGAACCCAAAAGGGAAGGCGGTATGGATGACCCGCCCACCCACCTGCCGAAAAAAAAATATGAGCGTCGTAGCAAATGGCGGCGCCGGTTGATGATTTTTTCTTTCCCTCTTGCAACCCCTGTGTCTCCATACACATCACCCACCACCACATTCACTTCCCACCTAGTATTCAACGAGCTCTTCACCTGTGAAGAGCCTTGATACTAGTACCTTTCACGCAGCGAACTTCTACCCACCGGGTAACGTTCGCTTAAAACTCACCCCGCCAGATCACAGCGACAAGTCGTCTGTGATCATTCACCTCTACCGCCATCATGTCGAACGACAAGGGTCTTGAGGATCTTCCTGAGGGTATGTGAATATCCTGTCTCGCAGAATCTCGACTTTACAACGTGTGGAATACCCTGTTGCGCCGGCCTGGTGCCTCGCGACGGTTGGGTGGCGATGTCAAAGGGGGATTGAAGAAAATTGAGATAAGGACTAGAACTGACAAAAAATGCGCTCCTACAGGACAGATCGAGTCTAACTACGATGAGATCACCGACTCCTTCGACTCCATGGACCTGAAGCCCGAGCTACTTCGCGGTATGTGATATTGCTGGCACCTTTTCTCGCTCATGGCGGGGTATGCAGAAAATTCCTAACTATCGACCCCAGGTGTCTACGCCTACGGTTTCGAGCGTCCCTCCGCTATCCAGCAGCGCGCCATCATGCCCATCATCAAGGGTGAGTTCTAACCCTTTTTTTCAACCTCTTCACAACCTCTTCTCTTTTGGGAGAGATTTTCCAAACCCCAGTGCCTAACGTTCGGAAATTCAGGCAACGATGTCATCGCTCAGGCTCAGTCCGGTACCGGAAAGACTGCCACTTTCTCCATCTCCGCTCTGCAGAAGATCGACCCCAACCTGAAGGCTTGCCAGGCTCTGATCCTTGCTCCCACCCGTGAGCTGGCCCAGCAGATCCAGAAGGTCGTTGTTGCCATTGGTGACTTCATGACCCTTGAGTGCCACGCCTGTATCGGTGGTACCAACGTCCGTGAGGATATGACCGCTCTCCGTGAGGGCCCCCCAGGTCGTTGTCGGTACCCCGGCCGTGTCCAGGACATGATCCAGCGTCGCGTCCTCCGCACCGACCACATGAAGCTCTTCATCCTCGACGAGGCTGATGAGATGCTGTCCGTAAGTTTGAAGCAAATCCCCTCTAATATCTCCACTTCCCGAGCTTTCGACTGATCCATTTTTCTAGCGTGGTTTCACCGAGCAAATCTACGACATCTTCCAGCTCCTTCCCCAGTCCACCCAGGTTACCCTGCTCTCCGCCACCATGCCCCAGGACGTCCTCGAGGTCACCACCAAGTTCATGCGTGACCCCGTCCGTATCCTGGTCAAGAAGCAGGAGCTTACCCTTGAGGGTATCAAGCAGTTCTACATCGCCGTTGAGAAGGAGGAGTGGAAGCTCGACACCCTGTCCGATCTCTACGAGACCGTCACCATCACCCAGGCCGTTATCTTCTGCAACACCCGCCGCAAGGTCGACTGGCTCACCGACAAGCTCACTGCTCGTGACTTCACTGTCTCTGCCATGCACGGAGATATGGAGCAGGGCCAGCGTGATGTTATCATGAAGGAGTTCCGTTCCGGTTCTTCCCGTGTCCTGATCGCCACTGACCTTCTGGCCCGTGGTATCGATGTCCAGCAGGTTTCTCTGGTCATCAACTACGATCTCCCCGCCAACCGTGAGAACTACATTCACCGTATCGGTCGTGGTGGTCGTTTCGGCCGTAAGGGTGTTGCCATCAACTTCGTCACCGCCGACGATGTTCGCATGCTCCGTGAGATCGAGCAGTTCTACAGCACCCAGGTCGAGGAGATGCCCATGAACGTTGCTGACCTCATCTAAACCCCCTAACTCCTTTTATGTCTTGATGCGGATTACGATCGCAGAACCTGCGTCAAAAGTGGCTTTCTGTGTTTCCTAACGCATTTCCGCTCGCAGCTGGCCTGATGGGGGTTGGCCAGAGGCCATCCTCTACTGACATCGGGTCACTTGTTATGGTTTCCTATGTCCCTGCACCCACGGAGATGTGACACGTTTCTGCGTTTTTGCTGTCACGGTTTTCCTTTTACTGCATTTTCTCTCCGTTACCTCTGTATCTAGCTCGCTCTGATTGGTTAAGGATGCCCTTATGATACTTAATCGAATAGATCGGGCCAAAATGTTACTTGTTCCTTACGGTGTTGTCCTAGAGTAACCTTGAATAGTTTTTTATGTTTCCAGTTTATTTTCCATCAATTATATTTTCCTTGTAGTCTATTTCACTTGCGTCTATCGCCTTTGTGTGATCCTCGCAATACTAGAAGTAGTTGTAGGCAACCTTCTGTCCGCGGGTATGTTTACCTACCGCGACTTCCATCTCCCCTTTCAACTACCCACGCAATTTTTCTTCACTCCGAGTCCAATTCTTCATTCCTCTCCCTACTGAACTCACCTCTTCCAAGGTTGGTTTGATCTTACTTTTGGCCTCTCTTCCAATGTCCATCTAACAAATCACCCCAGGTACCCATCTCAGAACAACAGACTTGAAGCAACCACCATGGCTCAGGATCCCCCCAAACCAAATCCTGCGACGGCTCTCTGGAAATATGAACTGGAACGCCAGAAACGAGCCTTGACAGAGCATATGGTTAAAGCAAAGCATCAAATAGCAGAAACTGAGGACCTCGTCACGCGGCTTTCACGCTGCCTCAAAGATCTCGCAGTTATTGTCGCCTCGGTTGCCACGTCCCTGAATGACCAGACACCCCAAGGTCAACAACGCCTTCGTCTCCTTCAAACCCAGCTCCATGATATCGTCGATCCCATCTACCAGGATGGCAAAGCTATTGTCACTCAAAACGAGACTTTGCTCGCTGCAATTTCCACGATCCGAGGCATACACAACACTCCGAAAGTGGTGGACACCACCATCACACCACCCGGCCTTTCGCGACCAAAGGGATTAGCAAAAAGCCGTCATGATCCGAACAGAGAGCGCCCTGCTTCGTCGCCGCTCACTCAAGCCCTCCTGACAATCTCTCGTTCCGATCCAAACCAAACCAACGAAGCCGAACCCAGCCTCGAGGACAAACAGGCGATTGCCCAAATTCTGAATAGGCGAAGTTTCTCCAAAAGCACAAAAACATTTATTCGTCAAAAAGGCCGCCCAATCGGTGAATACTTCGACGCCGCCCACGAATTCCGGCGCCGGTGGTCGATATCCCTATACGGCAGTGGACCTACAGATTCCTACAATGACGACACGCTTATCGAAGCCTTCATAGCCGGTCTTGACAGTGATCTATACCGGCGTCGATTCACACACTGGCTTCGTAATCAACATTGGAACTGGAACTTTCTCTTTCACTTTGCGCAGATTTTGGTCATGGAGGAGGAGTATATGGCAAAGCAGGAGTATGCGCTGGAACATAAGTTTGACGATGGTTCTGTCCTGTTTCCGGATGGGGAGAGATCTTATCGGTTTAGTTATCTGCCGCCTATTGCTGATGAGGATCTTACTGCGAGTGAGGATGATGGGGTGGAAGGATGGATATGAGGGCTGAGCATAGGGTGGATGGTATGCGCTGCTGGTCTGGGATTCCAGGGGGGGTTAGGATGCGGCGTGGATATTACGTGGTGTCATCTCGGGGGCTTTTGCTTAGGGAATTGAATTTATACTTATCTTTATCTATCATTTCCTGATGCCTGCCTCGAGTAGCGAGAAGGTTAGATATCTGCTTTCAATCGTGAGAATCTATTATTACTTTCGAAATCAAGAGCTTTTGTAAGAACTATGACCAGGAATGCCCATGGACTACAAGTTTCTCTGAGAAAGTAGCCTCTGCGTATATTCTAATTCGTACTTTGTATTTCCTGTCCCTTTCCCTTGAAATATTGGAATATCTACCAATCATACAATCTCTGCGGATTCTCCACCATCAAAGTCTTCCACTCCTGATCAGACAACCAGGAGCGCAAACCCCTCAACCAAGCCATATCATCAACTTCCAGATATGGAGTCTCCTTCAAAGCCTCCTCTCTCGTGCGCACCTTCATCAAGGGCGTATGCGGCCTGTGAACATCAATTAGCACATTAATTCACACTACCCAACCCAACCCAATGAACAAGGACGAGAACATACCAATCACTCCCCCACAAAATCTGCTGGGGATTAGCATCAAACAAAGCCCTAACAAGCGGCTTGAGATCTTCAAAATACGGCGCCTGCATACTAACCCGGTACGGTGCACTAATCTTAACAAAAAGATGTCCCGAACGAACTAGGTCAAGAATATCATCAAAACCAGGCTGCTTGGTAGCATCACCATCACCATCTCCCGGAACCCCCACTCCAGAGAAACCAGATAACATGCTCCACCCCTTAAGCAAAGCAAAATGATCCGTCACCAATCGAATCCCTCGTCCCACAACCTCATCCTCAATAACTGGTCTCAACAGACCCCAAAATTCCGGGTGCGTATGCGTAAAAGCCATACTCCACCCGGTACAATGACCACCCAGCGCACGAGCATGAGCAGTCAACGCGAGCTTCTGAAGCTCAACGTCATGCATTGCATTGTAGCGGTACATGTTAACTCTGATACCGCGGACGCCGTTTTTATGTAAATCGGCGAGTTCGCTCGGTGTTATTGTTTCGGGATCGATTACGGCTATGCTGCGTGTTGTTGAGGGGTCGAGGTCTTGCGTGAATGTGTGAAGGCAGGCACTGTCGGCGCCGTAGGATAGGCCATGGGTTAGGACGGAGTTTGTGAGGCCCGTTTTGAGTTTGAAGTCGGTGTATTGTTTTGTTGTTGCGGGTGGTGGGGTTAGATGGCGGTTTGGGTCGTAGGGGAATCTTGAGGCTGTTCAAGTTGGTTTTTTTGGCTTTGAATTGAGGTGTAGGGGTGGCTTACGTTCGAAGATGTGGTGGTGGACGTCCCATCCGCCATCAGGGAATAATGATGGTGACATGTTTGGCTTGAGTCGGCTTATTTGATGGGCTACTACTCGTTTGAGAAAGTCATGGATAGTGTGTTTCCAATTAGACAGTGACAAGACCGATTGCAGTGCATAGATGCCGTGGTCAGAGCAAAATAATATACAATAAAGAGACACTCGGCCGGCAATGATCGACCCAAGAATTCCAAAAAGAAGAACAGGCTAAAAGACGGGGCAACAGACCGGGCGCAGAGGCCGGAGGAAAGAGCCCGGAGTGTCCCATCCATGTCTGGCATAGGAATATTGCGAGATTCGAGATTCCGGGGGTCATTCCCCAGGGTGGACGCTGGGAGTATCACAAATGGCGATATCTGGAGCGCTCCGGGTGGGTCTGGACTGGTCCGAAACGCGGAGGTATCTTCACCAAGACCAACAATTTGAACCTCTTGGAAGTTTCAATTCCGATCCTTTTTTCGGACAAAGTCCGATAGAATATTTTGCGTACCTCCCAGACCGTGGTTGTCATGATTGTCGATTCGCGATGTCGGACTCCTCCCATCCGCACCACAGAGCTGGTCAGCAATTTCGCTCATTGGATGGGCTCATGACCGACTCATATGAAGCTGGGTAATCACATGGCATGGCGCATTCAGATTCATTTTAGAGCTGAAATCTATTATGGCGACTGGCAAACAGCAAGTATCCCCATGGCAATCTATCCTCGCTGGGGGTGGTGCCGGCGGCCTTGAGAGTTTGATCACTGTATGAATGTAAAACAAATATGAATGGGGAATTGCATACTAACTCTTTGAAATATTGCAGTATCCGACAGAATACCTAAAGACCCGTCAACAACTATTTCAACCCGGCGGCGCACAGAAACAGTCGCTAATACAGCTCCTCACCTCTACCATTCGACAGCATGGCGTCCGCGCGCTCTACACTGGAAGCGGCGTTTTCTGCGCCTCCAATGCTTCCAAGTCCGCTATTCGATTCTTCACATTCGACACGGCCAAACAGTTCATGCCGACCGATGGGAAGGGGAAAGTCACACCTTGGGAAATATCGGAGCCGGATTGTTGGCCGGAGTGGCAGAGGCAATTATCGTGGTAACACCCGGGGAAACCATCAAGACAAAGATGATCGATGACCGTGCTGGTCCGAAATTGTACAGATCGACTGGCCATGGAATTGTTTCCATTGTCAAAAAGGAAGGACTGCCAGGAATATACCGGGGCATGATCCCGGTTACATTAAAGCAGTCTGCCAATGCAATGGTGCGGTTTACGAGCTACAACATCTTCCTCAGTCGAATGCAGGCAATGTCTTTGCCTGCGTCAATCTGTACGGTCCTCTCAGGTGCTATGGCCGGTGTAGTTACCGTTTATGCCACTATGCCATTTGATTCGATTAAGACGCGATTGCAAGCTGTTGATGGACACCAGCGGTACCGAGGCTCGCTAGATTGCTTCCGCTCGGTGATTACGCAAGAGGGAGTCTCTGCCTTATGGAGGGGAACTACTCCACGGTTGGTTCGGTTGAGTGTTCGTAGATCCCAACTTTCCCACGTTTGTCGGTTGTAGCTGATCTTTTCAACCATAGGTTTCCGGCGCACTCAGCTTTTCGATTTATGAGGCTGTTGTGCAGTGGACCAGGACACTGTCGGTGGCGAAAAGTAAAGAAATGGACAAGGCGCACTTGTAGACATAAGTGGTCAATGTTTACAAACAATGAGAGTAATCCAAACTTTCTTTTGCTTTCAAGTTTCTTTTTTATTTGGACATATTAGATGGTTGAGTGGATAAGTGCTAGAGCATGATTATGTAGATTTGTAGAATCGACAACGTTGGTATCTCTAGATTCGGAATCCTCCCAATCAACCACGGTGATCCATTTTAGTCCGATATGCTCGAGATTTTCAAGATTTCCGAATACGAGGATCTTTATGCCAAGGCCTTACATTACCTCCGATACAAAGTACATAATAGGGCGGGATCCGTGGTTCCCCATGGCACCATACATATGCGCGCTGTACCCCAGACTCGGTCTGCTGGCCAAGCCTTTCCCCACAGCCCGAAACCTTCCGTTCTCAACTCCCACGAGATCACGACACGGCCATGTTCTGTTCAAAGTCTTCACGCATTTGAATCTCACGGCACTCCTAAAAGCTCTTCGGTAGCAGCGACACACCGGCAATATGCCTCCCGAGGATGGCAGCGCTGCGCCGCCGAGGAAAGTCCGCTCGGCATGCCGCCGATGCCGCCAGAAACGAGCCAAAGTGAATATCCCCAACCATCACACTATGGAGAAGTTGCTGACCATGTTGTGAGTGTGATGGTGGAATTCCCGCCTGCAGTAACTGTGCCCGGGCAAAAGTTCCATGTATTGATGTTCACACGGGTAATAATGATTTGTCCATTCCTAGAGAGTGAGTACTGTCTGCAACTATTGCCACTCCAAGGCGAATTTTCTAACGTTGGGAAGCTTCGCGGTGAGATGTTGTTCTCGCATAAAATGGCTTGAACAAAATCTAGCCACTCTTTGCCCTGACTTTGATCTGTCGAAAGGGCCTCAGGTGAATGTGGATTCTGTTGAAACGCTCAATACGTCCCAGGATGGTCCGAGTGTCGCTCCGAGAGCCTCTGCTACACAAAGGGACACTTCAGAACCGAGCTTTCAGGAGCCTTCAAACGAGCCTGTCACGAATAAACGCTCTCACTCCGCTATAGAGTCAGAAGCAGACTCCCCGCTTTCTGCTAAGGCACGATCTGTGGCGATTGACCTCGGCATGCTTTCACTGCAGTCAGATTCGCGCCAGAAACATTACCTGGGATCTTCCTCAGGATTGCTTTTTGCCAAGCTGATGGGTCTTGACAATGAGCCGCAATCGCAGCAAACCGCAACCCAAGCACGTCGACTGACCCCCCGGCGCATATCCGACGAGATATATCAGTCTCTCTATAACAAACTGAGAAAGGTACCGCTCCCATCTCTCTAAAAAACAGGTCTATGAAGCAGACCCACTGACCTCCAAAGGAACTGCCACCTCCAGAAGAGGCATGCCTTCTACTTGAAGTGTATTTCGAGAATATTCATATAGATCATCCATTTCTCCACCCCGCATCATTGGTCAACGCGTATCATGCATTGTATGTGTGTGCTCAAGCAGGATATAATGGATCTGTTGATCAGAATGGTTGGATTGATGCTGTCCAGCCTTTTGGCTACAATGGGAAAATTGATACAGTCGCCGGTCGCGAAAGCACTCCAATCTCTTTTGCTACCACTATATTCCATGTTTTCATGGTCTTCTCATTGTCTGCAACTGTCCTGACCAGGAAGAAAAATTACGATCACTCTCCCGCTCGCTTTCATCGTATGGCGATGTGTACGGCATCGGAAACATTCTCCGGAATTTCCGTGCCGTCTTTGCAGGCCGTGTTACTGCTGGCTGTCCAAAGCCTCATTGAACCAGCTGGCATGAATATCTGGACGTTGGTTTATATCGCCATGTCTCACTGTATAGACCTCGGACTACAAAGAGAACCGCCCGACTCCGGCATGCCAAGCTGCGCAAGAAGTATTTTGAGATTCATCTTCTACACCGTGTATTCCATGGACCGGTAAGGATACCTATATATGGTAACTTCTAGAGAACGGTCTGCTAATTGAGATAAACCAGATCGATTGCCACTATCCAGGGACGCCCACTTGGAATCCGAGATGAAGCATTTGATATTCGACCCCCCGACGAGACAGATATCGCGAAAATGATGACAATGGCGGAAGGGGACTTGGTCATCAAGCTGCCAGCATCACGACTTTTCGAGCTTTCAATTTCAAGGTTTCGACTAGAACAACACATCTCAGAGATTAAGCTTCTCCTCTACCATTTGCCGACCCGCACCCATAGCTTTGTTTGGCCAACAAATCTCACCGAAATACAAACAAGAATCAAGTTCGATCTCGATGACTGGCTTCAAGGGGTTCAACAGATAGTTGCATCGAACGACATGGACGAAGAAGACATGTCCAGTTTTCAATTTCAAAAATTGAAACACGAGCAGCTATACCATTCAGCTGTTTGCCTGCTTTTCCAACCATCGCAATCATTCCCCTCTCCCAGCCAGGAGGCATTGAGAATTTGCTATGAGAGCTGCAGCAAGCGTTTGCAAATCTATGACGCGGTTAGCAACCAAGAGATGCTTTATTATAATTGGCGCAATATTCACGGGATTTTCTCCTCGGGGGCAACAATTGTCTACTGTGCCTGGGCCTCCCGAGACTTGCAACGCAACATACCATTTGCAAAGCTACTTCGTGATTTGCGCACATGTTCTAACCACCTCAGTATTGGAAGCCAATGGTGGCCTTCAGTGCGCAGTGGCAAGGAAAGCTTCGAGATGATGATCGATTTAATCATCAAATATTTCAGTGACCTGCAGGTTCAAATCCAAGATACACGTACCTCTTCCGAGAGGCAAAGACAACCCACTAGCTCCCAGGCTGGAACTCTAAAACCGCCAACGTCTTATAGTAGTGTTTATGCTGTGGAAAAGGAGCCGGCAGGTCGAGGTATTGCCCACGGTGATGAGGGGCACCCTGGGCCTGATCATTTTGACTTTGTCAATCAGGACCCATCATTTGGGATAAGTAAGTTTGAAAGCCTCGTCAAACCGGCAACAGATTCCATTCCACGGTTTTGCTAAAAGCCTCTTGCTAACCTGCCCAGTGAATAATGCTCAGCCATCACTCGACAACATGGATCTGTCAATTTCCGTGGACACCTTGGAAGACTTTGACCCCCCAACAATTGAAGCTGCGATGGAGAATTTCATGGCAGATTATTTACACGAAGATTGGGGCTGGGATCCATTCTCAAACACCACAGGGCCTTTTGACTTTCAAGGGAATGGAACCCTGTAGCCTATTGCGCGCAGAGCCGTTGATAACAGACTTAAGCATGAGGGTTTTAGACAAAACCTCTATGACTACAGCTACAAGGAACAGCCTAGCCTCTGTGCTAGAATTTCAAATTTCAAAGTGTATTTTTATACTGCCTGCTTGACAAAACATCTACTTCCTAAGCTTCTTGATGGTTGGTCCCATCTCATCTCCATTTTCCAAGCACTCCCTGGTCTTCTCATCAACCTCATACCGCTCCTGACAAAGACGCAAACATTCTTCGACAGTATCAGGGGGGATCGCAATGACACCGTCACAATCACCAAGGATATAATCACCCGGGTTGATGGTCACTTCCTCGTTCACTTCAGCATTATCATACTCGACCGGAACGTTGAGCTCTGACGACCGAGTAAAAGTGTTCGATCCCAAAATACTAATTCCTCGAGCAAAAAGTCCCAGATTCAAGGCACGGTGCTCCTCAATATCCCTGAAGTGACCATCGATGACCACACCAGCAGCTCCGAGCTTCTTAGCGCGAGTGCTCATCAATCCTCCCCAGCATGCGCTGATCAACCCTTTTGGTTGCGAGACAAAAACGACACTATCCTTTGGTATGGCGTCGGCGAAGTGACGCGGGGGATTTGGCGAAGTTTCATCGGCCGTTGGCACCATGCGGACTGTATAGGCAGGACCGAATATTTTGGACGGTCCGCTCATTCGTTTCGGGCTGTACATGGATAGACCGGATAGGTATCCGCCATGCTTGATTCCGAGCTTCACGAGAGCGTCTCCGATCTTAAGGAGGCCGAGTAAGTAAAGCTTCGGTGATTTGGAGGCAACGCAATAACTTACATCGCAGGAGGCAAACTTGCTCAATGCTTGGACGGCCTTTGCTTTAGCTGCCATTCTAGTTGTGAAGTATTAACGAGATGGTGGTAGTTGCGATGTTGGAAAAAATTGGTATCCTGTTGAACACAGGTCAAACTGGGTATCTCGGCCTAATCCCTCCCAATTGACCAAATGACAATAAAAAGTAATTGCCATTATGCGGAGATCCCCATCATTGCACAGGCTCGGCTGATTGTTAAACTTCAACGTGAACCCGAGCATTTCATTGGAGCGGAGGCCTCCAGACCCCGCCCGGAACAGCCCAGCATGGCAGACAAGACTCGCAAGTGGCGATCTCGGCGAACAACGAGAATCGGTGGATCGAAAAATGTTCTGAATTCAAGAGTTTGGTATTGGTTGCTTGGAGTCGGCCCGGTGCTTTGTTTTCTATAACTGCCTCCCTGCGTTTTTCAAATTGCGCGGTCTGCGATCGCGTCTTCCCCGACCTACAACATGATGTCGGAAACCTTATCGCGCCTTGCGCAGAGACGATGGAGATTACAGACATCCTTGGTTATACAGAGGCGAATGCTTGCAACTTCTAGCGCATATCCGTCTAAAATCCTCGGGGTCGACTACAACAATCAACTCGCGGTCCTTTACACTTTGAAGAAGCAATCAAAACGTCCATTGACATTGACCGAGAAACTACTCTATAGCCACTTGATCGTGGATGGAGGCCGTGAGTGGGACCTGGAGAAAATCGATCGCGGAAAGACTATACTTGAGCTTCGACCAGATCGTATTGCCTGTCACGATGCCACTGCTACGATGGCTCTGCTTCAATTCATCAGCGCCGGTCTTCCCCGTGTGAGAACCCCAACGACAGTACATAGCGACCACCTTATTATTTCCGAGAAGGGCGCAACGGAGGATCTACAGCGCGCTGCGTCGGAACACGCAGAGGTTTATGACTTCCTCAGCAGCGCGTCAAGAAAATATGGCATTGGGTTTTGGAAACCTGGTTCAGGAATCATCCACACTGTGATTTTTGAGAACTACGGAATGTAAGTTATAGCTGTTTGTTCTGAGCACCGAAGAAATTTTTCTGATTATTATTTTCCCCAAAGGCCTGGTGGATTGATTATCGGAACTGATTCGCACACACCGAATGCTGGAGGATTGGGAATGCTTGGTATTGGAGTTGGAGGCGCTGATGCTGTGGATGCTATGTCAGGAATGCCATGGGAACTCGTTGCTCCCAAGGTGATTGGTGTCAATCTGACAGGTCAGCTTCAAGGATGGACGTCAACCAAGGATATCATTTGCAAGATAGCTGGCATTCTCACTGTTTCCGGGGAAAGGGCTCAGTGATTGAGTTCTTCGGACCAGGCACTCAAACACTGGGAGCAACGGCAATGGCCACTATTTGCAACATGTCGGCAGAGATCGGCTCTACATCTTGCATCTTCCCCCACTCACCAGCAATGGGTCGTTACCTATCAGCGACAAAGCGCGAATATGTGGCACAGGCGGCCAACGAAGTGCGGGATGTTCTTCTCACAGCCGATGAAGGATCCCAAGAATACTATGATCGCATTATTGACATCGATCTCTCTACCCTCGAACCGCACATTAACGGCCCATTTACGCCTGATCTTGCCCATCCACTATCACAGCTCAAAACTGCCATCGCTAAACAGGACTGGCCAATCGACCTGAGCCATGCCATGGTTGGCAGCTGCACAAACAGCTCGTACGAAGATCTTGATAAATGCAGACAGCTTATCCGACAAGCCAAGGCTGCAGGGACTCTTAAGTTCAAGGTACCATTCCTGTTGACACCAGGTAGTGAGCAGATACGCGCAACCGCCGAAGCCGACGGCATCCTGGGTGAATTGAGGGAGGCCGGTGCCATCGTGCTTAGTAGCTCATGTGGACCATGCGTTGGATCATGGGACCGCAAGGATGTGGACGTCAAGGGCAAAGAGAAAAACTCGGTTATTTCCAGTTTTAACCGCAATTTTATCGGTCGGCATGACAGCAACCCTGCCACTCATTCATTCGTGACTTCGCCAGAAATGGTTACGGCCTTCGCTTACTCTGGTCGGCTTGACTTTAACCCCATCATCGACGAAGTCATCGGATCCAGATCGTCGTTCAAATTCGAGGCCCCAATTGACCAGGAGCTACCACGGCACTTCGAATCTGGCATGGACACATTTCAAGAACCACCCGCTGACGGCTCCTCCTTTTCAGTTTCTGTGGACCCCAAGTCGGATCGTTTGCAGCTATTGAAGCCATTCGACAAATGGCAGCCCGGTAGTGCCAACGACATGGAGATTCTTATCAAGGTTTCTGGAAAATGCACAACGGATCACATTTCACCCGCAGGCCCATGGTATAAATATCGTGGCCACCTTGAGAACATCAGCAACAACATGCTTACCACCGCAACGAATGCCGCTCTCCCTAATGACCCGCAGTTACTTGGACACACCAGAAACCCTCTGACAGGAGAGGTAGATGTCGTACCGGAAGTCGCTCGGCAAATGCAAAAACAAGGTGTATGTTGGTGCATCATCGGCGATAATAATTATGGTGAAGGTAGCTCTCGCGAACATGCAGCACTTGAGCCACGATTTTTGGGAGGAACGGCGATCATCGCACGCTCGTTTGCACGCATTCATGAGACGAATTTGAAGAAGCAGGGCATGCTTCCACTTACGTTCGATGATCTTGCAGATTATGACCGCATCGCGGATGGAGATCGAATCTCCTTGATTGGAGTTGAAGAGGGTGAGCTCCAGCCCGGCAAGTGCGTCACTATGAACGTAAATAGCAAAGATGGCTCGACCTGGGAGGCGCGGCTAAGCCACAGCTTCCACCAAGGGCAGCTTGCTTGGTTACGGGCTGGTAGCGCTTTGAACCATATCAAGACCATAACAACTGCCAGATAGATTGTATATTTTGCAAAAGCGTGTATTTTATTTCGACTTGGTACCTCCTGATTCTTCGATAGACTCGGAGCGTGATGTTATTCTGCCGTTAAACTTAATTTTTCAAACATTCCACATCTTTTGACCACTCTTTAGTTACAGCTTGATTGATTCTATGAGGAAGCAGGAAATGAGTCGACAAAGTGCTGAATTGTGTAGATACGCTAGGCATCCTGCCTAGGTGAATCCAATTTGGTCTTGAGCTAGATAAAGTTCTCAGGCCTTGAAATAGTATCTTTGAAATGTTATCTCAAATGAGAGGCATGCAGCGTTAGTAGGGTACATGTGATGGAATGTCAAAATAGATTACGCATATTCATTGGTCAATGGATTCAAATCCGAGGACTATGACCAAAATACAGAATAAATCGGACACCGAAAGTCGAAAAGGTAATTTGATAATTAATGGTTCGCAATTGCCACCCACGGATCCCTCCGCCGCCCCCGGAATGCTCCTTACCCCAGATTTATTTCCCCATGCCCCGTCCAGACCAATGCCGTGTCGGCAATTCGTCAACCAGCTTACTCTGCCGTCACATTTCTCCATTTTAATCCCGCTCGGGCTGGTCCTAGTTCAAATTCTCCCCCCACACGAAGCGTTCGAGATGGAGCGTGCCACCCATCGTGTGGTGTCGTTATTGCGTACTGGTTCAACTTTATGGAGCCAAAGCATTCATATAAACCCGCCTAGTGCACTGCTTCATATCTTCGGAATATGAAATCAGCTCGTGGCCATCTCAATCTTCGCACATTTTAAGATTTCTCTTCCTTTTCAACCCTTTCTGAAAAATGGGTGCTGCAGGTGGAGGATGGTCTAACGAAGCCATAAAAAAGGTTCCTGTCCCAGCTCGCCGAGGCTATGTCTGGCTTGCTGCTATCTGGGCCTCTTATTGTGGTGGTCTCCATGGTTTCAATACAGCTAATATCTCGGGAACCATGAGTTTGAAGCCATTCATAAGGGACTTCGGATGGTCAGATCTTCCCTCGGAAACGATATCTGATTATTCAGGATGGGTCGTCTCCTCGATGCTTCTTGTAAGAAAATGTGGATCCGCGTCTTTATTCTTTGCCCAGTTGCATATCTAAATTCTCTAACCGACTATCCTTCACAGGGACAAATTCTCGGGGTCTTGATGTCAGGCCCTTTAGGTGAACGGCGCGGTCGCAAATATGTCATTATCTCTGCCGCCATCTTTTACTCCATCGGCGCCATTTTGATGGCTGCCAACTTTGGCTCGCTGGTTGAGCTGCTTGTCGGGAGAGTCATGTCTGGCATTGGCTCGGGCCTGGGAATGACAGTCGGACCCATTTATATATCAGAAATCGCCCCTACAGAAATGCGTGGAATGATGACGACATTCTATAACATCAACATTATGGGTGGGGTGGCTGGAAGTTACTGGATCAATTACGCCTCATACGAGCATATATCTCCTGAAAACAGTTGGCAATGGCGGGCTACGCTGGTCCTTCAGTTGATTCCTGCCATTGTTCTCTTCATCGGTTTCCCCTTTTTCCCGGAAAGTCCCCGTTACTTGATGATGCGGGGACAAATTGAAGCTTCCAGACAAAGTCTTTTGAAAATTCGTGGCCTGCCAGAAACCGACTCTTATTTCAGTCGTGAATACGACGAAATCAGAGGCCGCGTTGATGCAAATGCCGAGATCCAGTCTGCCTGGCAATCCACGAAGTCGCTTTTGGGCACTTGTGTCGCGGACCCCTCGACTCGCAAGATGCTTTTATTCGTGATGATTGTCCAAACATTCTTCATCATGACTGGTGGCAACTCGATCACCTATTATGCCCCAACTATCCTGAAGTCCATCGGCTTGGATTCGGCTCAGGTCCTTCTATTCTCGGCCATCTATGGTATGATCAAAGTATTTAGCATGCTTTTCTACGCATTCTATCTTACCGATCGTTTCGGTCGGCGTCCGTTATTGCTTATCGGCTCCGCAATGAATACCGGCTGTTTGATATACCTCGCTGCTTATCTCGGTGTCGCCGACCTCTCTAAACCAGGCAGTCCCTCACCAGCTGCATGGGTGGCCATCGTTGCGATCTGCATCTTTGCTGTTGGATATGCGTTTGGCTGGGCCCCTGTTTTCTCTCTTACTGCCTCTGAGATTTGTCCTACTTCGACTCGTGGAACAGTAGTGACGATTTCCTTTATCTATCAAAATTTGCTGAATTTCGGCATCACTCGTGGATTCCCGAGTATGACCCAGGATATGCACGCTTGGGGGCCCTTTGCACTATTCGCCGCTTTCACTGGCTGTGCTACTGCATGGGTCTTTGTTGGCTTTCCAGAATGTAAGGGACGAAGCATGGAGAGCGCTGGAGATTTGTTCTTCCTGCCTTGGTATAAAATTGGCTTTTCTAAGGCTCCCACCTTTGAGCAGCAGGCTGCTGAGAGAGTTGTTGATTTGGAGAAAGCATCATGCAGTGAACACCAGGAGGATATTGCTGCAGAAGAGTGTAAACGGGGATAAGGCAGTTACACTCAAGCTTGACCTATCATTAGTCACGACTGTGTCTTGTATACTCCCACTCTTACATTCTTGGTGATATAACACCAAGAACATTAAACAATGAAATTCCGCACTTGTCATATGTACACGCTATGAATCCCTGTGCTACCCCTGGGCATGTACAGGTTAGTAGCCAATAAAATCATATAACGTAGGCAATTCCGGTGCTAAGGTCAAAACATATCAGTTCATTGCGAGTGTGACTGGGAACCGACATTAGTTCATTCTGAGTATGACCGTGGGAGAAATCACTTCATCGTCAATGGGGAGATGAACGGGCACCAGTCTCGGATTATATTGCAGGACCAGAGAATGTGGCCCAGGGGTCATTATCTGGGAGACCAGAGCTTTGTATCCTTTTGGTCTATGCGCTACCTTGAAACAGGATTGTCTGGGCAGTTGGTATCAAATCTAAGATGAAGAGATACCTGCTTGCCTTAGATTGGTGAGGTTTGCAGCATCGTGGTAAGATTGCAAGGCTAAGAGAATAATTACTAGTACGAGTTGGGAGCCTTGGGTACCCTTTGCACACAGACGACCGATAAGCAAGTTTTGCCACGGCTGCGTTGACTTAGGCGAGTTAATAGTCAATGATGATGTAATGAAGACCCTGCGGTTAGTATTTGCTCGCTACACGCTCCGAAAGGCTAGAATTCACACAAAAATTGCCCAAAGCTTATCGACTCAAGATATCACTAGTTAATCGGCAGCCACAAGTCTAGCACAATATCCGATCGGTAAGAGACCAAGCGCTGCTACGAGAGACCTTTCCCCCTATTATCTTCGACGAGCTTTCACTCAAGGTAAAAATTTCTTTGCTAAGGTAACCCTTTCAGCGGTCGAACATCCGTGGATGTTGTGGAGAAATGACTAGTGGGCGATCAAAAAGTCAAAAGGTCAACATATCACTGATATCCGATGTTTTCCCGGTACTAAGCAGGGAGAAGTTACTGTTGTCCGACTTGGATGGTGGCATTGCCACGCTGGTACGCTTCGAGGAGCGCCAACTTCAAATACGTACTGTATGGTATAAAATACCAGTATGTATGGTTAAAACCAGGGTGGGGACCTTTAAACCTTGGAACCGCAGTACGAACTTGGATCTCGTATTCGTCTTCGGGCGCTAATTACTATCCGAACTTATAAACATGCAGCTAGCAATCAATCACCCATAATACTAGAACTCGAAAATCTTCCTATTTTATTTATTTTTAGCCTTTTCATCTTTTGCTTCGCCACTTATCATGGAAAATTTCTGCCTGGGAGAGTTGCAGAAATTGAAACAAGGTTCGGATCAGGGCCTATAAACCCAAGGTCCCTGCTCTCCCAGTGTCGAAAGTTCCAACGAACAATCACAACTTCATCGAGCTTTCTAATAGCGCACCCAACTATTCAGGACTTTCATTATTTACTCCATTCGATCTTTTTACTCTACTTACTTCCACTCACCATGGGCGCCTCTGACTTTGTGCTCTACGAATACACGCCGAGTCTGGTGGCTGCGGTGATTTTCGCTGCACTGTTTTTCTTGACTACCGTACTTCACCTTTGGCAACGAATTAGAGCCCACTCGAACTATTTCAATCCGTTCATTGTCGGAGGAATCTGTACGTGATTCGCTGATTCACCTCCATTCATGCTATGTACTAATATGGAATATAGTCCAGGTTATCGGTTATGGCGCGCGCTGTGTCTCGCATTTCAATAAGACATCAACTATTGCCTACGCCATGCAAAGCTTATTCCTTCTCCTGGCACCAATCCTATATGCAGCTTCGATTTACATGGTTCTCGGGCGAGTGATTAGGTTCGTCCGCGGAGAGCACATGAGCTACATTCCGGTCGGAATCATGACCAAGGTCTTTGTTGGCGGTGACATTCTTTCCTTTCTCCTCCAAGCAGCAGGTAAGCGCCGAAAATATTATTTGTTCCCACCTCTGTACTATACTAACGATTCATCCTTATAGGTGGCGGTATTATGACCGGCGGCTCTAAGAGCAGCTTCACAATCGGCCAATGGGTTATCGTCGGAGGTCTCTGCGTCCAACTCGTCTTCTTTGGGGCCTTCCTTGTTTCGGCCTTGATTTTCCACTCTAAGATCCTCCGCCACCCGACCGCTGAATCTGAGCAAAAGATGCATCTCGGCTCCTTCTGGCCCCGCGACTGGAGAGGAGTTCTGTTTGCATGCTACGTTGCCAGCGTACTGATCCTGATTCGTTCCGTCTACCGTCTTGTTGAGTTCATTCAGGGACAGCAAGGCTATGTCATGACGCACGAGGTTTTCCTATATGTCTTTGATGCCACTATGATGTATTTCGTGATGGTGCTTATGAACTTGCGTCACCCGGCGCATGTTTTGCAGCAGCAAAACCCGTCTGACTCTACTGAGCAGAAGGCATAATCGCTCACTTCATTTCCAGGATGAAGATGCTCAACTATTCGTTAACAGATTGTTTTCTTATGGAGTCGTGGTGTTACACTTTTTCATTCTTTTCTGTTGTTATTGTTCGTTTCCTCACTCACTTTGCATTCATTTTCTACCTAGACTCATCTACTTAGAACCATGACCATGACCATGACCATGACCCATGACCCATGACTACGATATGCAATTCTGTATAGCTAAAACAAGACAAGTGTTCAACTCCAGTAGGAGAATAAGATTTAAGTCCGATTTAATAAAGTTAAGGCTTTCTCAGGATGCTACTTTTTTAGCATATTTTGAATTTCATAGGGAGTAATCAGAATATAACTCCGTCTGTTAAACTAAGGTCTCACATCGAGAGAGAAAAAATGGAGAGAGCGCCAACGATCTTTCTGCAATATAAACAATGATAAGATAGGTCGCCACTATAACTTTAGAAGCATCCAAGTTCCTCTTACGGCCATTTTAGTGTGCCCAAGAATTGTTCGATGTACACTAGTTAATGATGGGGTCAAGAACAAATTACATGTTCAAAGACTCCGCTTGAAAGGGAAATCTTGAACCCCACCTAGCACACGAGCCGTTCATACAAGGAGCTTCTAGTAAAAGTTTGAATAGTCTTATTCGTCTCCACAATTTGCTCGAATTATTGCACGTATATGGCTTCTTGGCCCTTCGATTATATGTAAGAATCCTATTTAGAAGCATGAAGCCACGACTCCTTTTATGGGGACCAGCCCAGCTGTTCCATTGGCCACTGTAACCAGCAACGGTACTCTTCACTTAGGCAGTAGTAGATACCCCGAATTAAATGGATGCTAAGCCCTTGCATCCACCACGCCCATTCAAGCTCGCGAGTGATCACGCAGAAATAGGAGAAAATGATCAAAGCTTCGGGAGTTCGTTGCCGAAGGAGAAGCAAATAGTCATCCGAAATCTGCAACAACCAGACAAACACATCGGCGGTCTGGCAACTGAAATGGCCCTCTTCTTCAATAAGGGCAAATGTTTTCGCCAAATCGTCCACAGCATCTAGGTAGCAGCTCAAGATCCTTTCATCTGTCACCCTGGTCTTCAGGAGATGTCGCAACTCCTCAACATATGTCAATTCTGTAGTCGATCGGGAATTCCGCATGTGGTTCCTGCGTTTTCCAATCTCAAACATTGGTGAAAGGCTGCCCGTTCTGATCGTGGTCTCTGCCGCAGAAATGATAAAGCGAGTGCCACGGAACAGTGACAGCCACTCAATGTCTTTGCCGCCAAAAACCCAGAAATCTTCGGGTTGTCGTGGTTTGGCACATGAGATGATAGAGGTCACCGTCGAAAAAAGGTAAATGGCAGGGGCATTGTCATCGTTGATATTGCGCATATGAGACGAGATCATCTCCAGCGCTCGATTGTGATGTAACTCTGCTTGGGCGACATAGTCATCATGGCATTCTGGGTGTAATTGTGCGAGATGCAGCGCTGACAGGGATAGTATACCATGCAGGACGTATGGATAAGAAAATCCAATTTTGGGAACTCTAATCCGCCACACGGTTTGCAGCACAGGGAGACGGGCTATGGTATAGCAAGTAGATGTGGAGAAGTGATGGAGCAGCTTCATCTCTGCTAAACCCATCGATGGACCAGTGGAATCCCCTATAAAAGTTCCACTTGACGGGCTAGGAATTGCGCTAGCAGAAAGTGGCGAAGCGGTTCTCACTTGACCATCTGTATTGGATGTTTCAGCGAAGAAGCACTCAATTCCGTGTTTGATGCAATTTTGGCAGTCTGGTCTGGTTTCATCACACTTTTCACCGCGTGACAGAACATTAGATTCAAAAGAAGAGAAAAAATAAATAAAAGTTTCGAGCTTTCGATGACAGGAGCATTCTTTTACTTACCTTTACCTTGCGCGCTTTGCAGCATTGACAGCCATTTCTGGATTTGCTGTGTGGCCGACGAGGCCTCACACGCTTCATCCCCAAATATTTGCCAAATCAGAGATAGAAGCTTGCAAAAGGGAACCCACAACCTAAATTTGCAGTTCGTTCTACAGGGGCCTGAGGCCTAAACACTCGAAGAGGATGTGATGTGGATGCCATCTAGGTAGAATTTCGCGCGACCGAGATGATGGGGAGCAATGCGAAGTAAGCAAGTCATGACTAATCCATGACATATCCCTGTCAGTGCGCCTAATCCGGCAAATCCATTGCTTTGATTCCAGATCACAGAGTGACAGAGGAAGAACCAATACCCGGAGTCTGGAGAGACTACTCGGTAGCCTGTCGTCTCCTAAAACTATTACTAGCGCCTGTCCAAACCATGAAGATCCTTAAAGACCCTTAAAACCCTTATGCTGGCTAACCTCACTCCAGCATGGTGTGGCCCCTAGTCCCGGGCGTGGAACCTCCCGCAAGTCCGCACGTTAGTTTGTTCCGCTCCATAATTTAGACTCAGCAGGAGAAAAAAAAGAGAAAAAAAGTAGGGATACAGTACATCTACTCGTACAATTGCCAATGCCTCGTCCACCTGCAGAGCTAGTAAGAGAATAAGCTTTGGGTAACTGGTATTACTGTATGGTATTGTACATGAGCTTGGCTACATAGCATGGTGGGTCGAGGTCGGATTCGTATTCGGATAGGAGATGCGTGTCTCAGACCCGGGTCAATTACAGCTTATCAACATGGGTAACTATTGGATACCTTACGAGGAAGTTTAATTCCCATTGTCGTTGGACCCCTAAATCTCTCCATATTAAACAATACCAGTCTGCCGTCTCCATCCGACAAGCTCAATCCTCACCAGATTAAATTCACATTATACGAAAAAGAAATGTCGCCAGTCAAGGTTCTTCTTCTGGGTGCAACTGGGCATACTGGCCGTTCGATCCTGGATGGGCTTACAGAAAATGGCAATTACGTAGGTACCTCTCGGTTGGAAAAGATGTGGTTCTTAGACTGACACCGGCTGTAGTCGATAGAACTCTTTGTGCGGCCCTCTTCGGTAGAGAAACCAGCAGTGAAAGATCTGGCTCAGAATGGTCTCCCGATCCGTGTGGGAGACCTGGATGGGCCTGTCGAAGACCTTGTATATTTGCTTTCTGGATTCGACCTGGTAATTAGCGCAATCGATGCTCTCTCACAGTTGGCCCAAATCACCCTTGCCAAAGCTGCCAAAGAGGCGGGCGTCGGGCGATTCATTCCTTGTGGCTTCACAATTGTCTGCCCCCCCGGGTGTTATGCTGTTGCGAGATCAGGTAAGACGGTGATATGGTATTTTTTGGCGCAGTATTGAAAACAATTAACGATCTTGCGTATGATAGAAAGAGGAAGTGTACCAGTACCTGAAAGAGCTGCGTCTGCCGTTTACGATCATTGATGTCGGATACTGGTATCAACTTTCGTTTCCAACCCTACCGTCTGGGCGAGTTGATTATGCAACTCCTCTCGTACCTAATGTCACTATTCACAATGATGGGCTGGCTACAAATCTATTGACGGATCTTCGGGATATCGGGAGATTTGTGGCTCGCATTGCTACCGACAATCGAACATTGAATCAGTATGTCTACACATACGGTGATCTTCTATCAGAAATGGAAATCTTCGGTATGATGGAAGAAATTTCGGGCGAAAAGATTGAACGAAGGAGTGTATGTTCCGGAAAGATCTTCTATTGATGTGAAAAGTGCGACTAATGAGATGCTGTGAAGGTTTCCACCCAGGAAATAGAGAGTGCTATGCAGAGAGCACAGGATGCGTACAGTGTCGATAGCAAGAGCATGGGAAACTTGTTTGCGCTCTACGTTGCGCAATACAACTACAGCAAATATGTCCGATGCGATAACACTCCGCAGGGGGCAGAGGCTCTCGGATATCTCAGCGCTCGCGAGCTCTATCCGGAGTTTCAACCCACCAAATTCGTAGATTTTCTGAAAGAGGTTCTTGATGGAAAAGGAGTGAACCCTTATGCCTAGATATACTAGACAGAGATCCTACGTCTCTCCGAGTAGATACAAATATAAGCGTCAGAGACGTGGTCGGGATCGGCTCAAATAGAGAAGTATTCCAGAAATTGGGCTTTGGGTCTTATTGAAATAGAAATTCGTATTCTGCGTTGTTGACGGATAGTCATTTCCCGTCATATTCTGCAATGCAAAAAGGAGTCCGCGAGGCCAACAGTATCGCCATGATGTTGAAACATGGTAGTTTGACTGCAAATTTGCTAAATAGACCAAGGCAACGGCTATTGGGTCATCGTCTCCCTGTAACTGCTGGCACACATCTATGTCTGCATGGCGCTACTCAACACACTATCAACAAGCCACCTGTAGTTTTGATTTAATCAATTAAAACAGCAGCAGCTAATGTTTAATCTAAATATAGGATAAGGCATTAGCCGACACGCCCCATAGAAATGCCGGGTACTTAAATGAATATGGAAATAGCATGAAACTGGCCAAATCACATTTGAAGACGGAGCGGGGAGTAGCAGATCACCCCCATGCACTTACATGGAGAACGAGGGTCGGGAAAGCGGGGTCCTCCTGCCTTGATATGAGGAGAAATTAAAGATTATCAATTCGCCACTGCCCCTTAAACGGTCGAGAAGTGCCATGTACATGTAGATAATAGGTCGTTTCGGATTCGTAGTTGGGTTCGGATTCGGCTGTGGATCGGATTCGTATTCGGGCCATCTCCACTAGTTAATCGTCGCGTGGGGCGTAAATAATATTCTACGGTAAGTTTTGGTCCGACCCGCCTTGATTTGTAAGATCTAAGGTTGTCATATTCTGAAACTGCACCCAAGTGTACTTTCCCAGATATGCGCGCCTGCATCTGTCAAGTTAGTCTCAAATTTCTCCTGGAGAGGCATCAAAAGTTGATTTTGAACCACAAGTAATCCTGGTCCATACACCGGGAGCGCCTGTAATGCAAGTGACGTTAAATTTTGGTGGGAACAAGTACCGGAGGAAGCATACCGACCAAACTGTCTGCTCCACCTAAAATGTACTCTTTCACAGGGTCAAGGAGGCCCAGTTTTTGTAGATCTATATATTCGAGAATGAGTGGGGATATTTCCATACTATTCCCTGCCGAGGAATCCGAGCATAGTCTAGGCAGCGATCAACAACCATTTTTACTGTTCCGGAGTGTCTGAGCCTATGTACTATCGCATTCCCATGTATCAAGGCAGAGCCAATATTAACAGGTAGTCGGGAAAAGGTTTATAAACCCAGCATTCCGCAGATCAATTGAATCAAAATATTTTGCTCGTGGCATCCATTCCTTTGAATTTCGAATCTTCTTTCTTTTCCATAATGAAGTTCCTTCTGGGCTCCCTTCTTCTGGGTCTCGCCTCGGCCAGCGTCAGCCATGCGCCTATCTTGACTGGAGCGTCTGTTGAAACCCCGCTTACCACATTCAATCTCACCACTGGCGCCAATTGTGCATGCCGCACTCTTTCACGCACTTTTAGTGGCGTTATCTTCCCGCGTGACACTAACTACTCTGCTGAGACCGTGGAGGCATACTGGGACGTTCGTACTGATTTGTCTCCTGCCTGTGTTTTCCTTCCTGAGACTGCGAATGAGGTGGCGCACGCCATCAAGGTGCTCAGCTCCTGTGATGCACAGTTCGCGGTTCGCGGTGGAGGGCATATGTGTGTAAGTTATCAATCTGATTGACGTTGATGTACAATCACTGATAGTTGAAACAGTACCCCGGATCGAACAACATCAATGGAGGCGTCCTTATGGGTCTTTCCAAACTGAACAGCTACAAAGTCCACAGCGAGACTATCGTAGTCGGACCAGGTATGACCTGGTACGATGTCTACTCAGCTCTTGACCCGTACGGCCGTGCCGCTGTTGGTGGTCGCCTGAAAACAATTGGTGTCCCCGGATTGAGTCTTATCGGCGGCTGGCACTACTTCAACAACAAATGGGGATTCGCCATGGACAATGTGCTCAGTTACGATGTTGTCCTTGGAAACGGAACACAAATAACGGTCAACAAGACCCAACACTCTGACCTCTTCTGGGCTTTGAAGGGTGGCGCTAACAACTTCGGCATCGTGACCAAATTCACCTTGAAGACCTTTGATGTCCCTAAGATCAGCACGACTATCCAGGCTTACAATGAGAGTGGGATCCCCGACTTCCTGGAGGCGGTTTGCCATGCGGCAAAGCTCGACGAGCAGGATCCTATTGCAGCCGGCATGGTGGCTTCAATCTCATACAATGTCACTACTAAGGCTGCGTCGGCTTCGTTGCTTGGTGTCCAGGAGGGCACCGAGAGCCCCCCGTCTCAATTTGCAAACTTTTCTGCCATTCCGTCAACCATGAAAATTGATAAAGTCCAGACCATGAAGACATGGGCGCAGGCACTAGACTCGCCTAAGCAGATGTTCCGGTACGCTGTCCAATATACCATTACCTGATGAGTCGCAAATGTTCTAACCTTCTTAATAATAATTACAGTGTCATGTATTCTCACAAGACTATCAAGCCTGACCCACAAGTTCTTTACATGTTCTATAAGATCTGGAAGGAAGCGGTGGATGAAATTTCCGATGTTCAGGGTCTCTACCCCACATTTGTGACCAACGTGCATGCGCCTGGCGCTTCTCGAGTTGGAAAGACCAATGGAGTTGGCAATGTCTGGGGCTTGGAAGCAGAGCCGTTGATTTGTAAGTGCTCCTCTTCTCTAATTGGGAATGCCAGACAAAGGAATACCACATCAGAAACTAACTGCTCGTAGTGTGGCAATTCAGCACTGGCTGGGCCTTAGAGCAGGATGATCTTCGCGTTCAAGCATGGTCGCGCCAGCTCACAGAGAAACTCCATGCTATTAGTGTTGAGAAGGGACTTGCCTCCGACTTCATCTACATGGGAGATGCTGGAGAGTGGCAGGATCCTTTCCTAGGATTTCCGGCTGAGAACGTCCTTCGCATGAGAGAAATCAGATCGTCCTATGACCCTAACGGCACTTTCTCCCGACTCAACTGGGGAGGCTTCAAGCTCGGTGTCTAGAGGGTTTCTGTCGCTGTACTCAATTGAGGTACCTTCAAGCCGGGTGTATACAGGAAACATCCGAAATTGACTTCAGCGATCATCAAACATGTCGGTCACTGTGAACCGTCTTCATTTTAATATGTTCTCAAAACAATTTGTCTTGGGTTTGGTGACCTCATTCTGACTTCAATTTTGATAGGAAAATGGTTGATCCTTGTAGATTTTGGATGAGAAGTGTACGGGGCGCTATCGAGTTACCTAGCATGTGTAGCTTCAATGTTGGGGCCACTTTTCATTTCTTTTTTCCTTTCTTACTTCAAGTTTAAGTGCCTAAATCAGAGTGGGATTAGGGTTCTGATTGCTTTAGAAGGTAGAGGTGCTACCGCCACTAAGTTTCTTTTACTACTAGTGGTAGAGATAGTAACTACTAGAATCATGAGTACTAGTATTGGATATATTTCAAAACTTAACTTGAACACTGGTCGTAGTAACTATCTATCAGTACTAGATCGCAGTATTGAAGAATTATATTGTATATACTAGATGTATTTTCAATTCGAATATACGGAAAATTTGGAACTTCCAACACCTGTGAAGTCTAGGACCTAATAATTACTGATCATATACATATATCTTTCAAATGACACAAAACCGTACGGGGACGAGTGCCAAGCCTCTTTCCATTGGTGGGTTGCCAAGACTTCACCTCCCAGCGCCTCCTCCGCCTCCGCCTCCGCACTCTTGCCTTCACCTCCCCAACTTTCAACTCCAGCCACGCTTGTCAATTTCCAAGGTTCATTCAACCATCTCGATGAAGGTCGCGGAAATACTGTCGGATCTCACGTCATTACGCGTGTGTGTAAGTGCCTTCAACCACGGCGATGATCGCCTTCCCCCCTCACCGGGAAATCCAATACCCAAACGAAGTCAACCTGGCTGAAGCAGATGAGCATAAACTAACCCTTGACAGGATCACCATGCCGCTCTGGCTTTGGTAAACGCCCACCAGATATCACTTGACACATCCCCACCCTCCCAATCGAACCCGACCGCCACGGACGCGATTACGTCTCAAGAAAAACAGTGACCTTCAACGAGCAAAGGAACTGGTGGAGCTTCACTATGAGGTCAAAGCACGGCATGTCAACGGCCAGGTCGATGCCGATCTTCAAAAGGCGCGTGTCGATGTCCAACAAGTCCTCAGGGAGCTTTCGTGAAGGAGACCTGATATAAAGGGGGGGATTGTTGCCGTTCTGCACATGGCGTTTTTCAAGGAATTTCGATAACGACGACACGATTGAATGAAATTGGGTATATCTATCAATGCATAATAATTCATAGCAACTACTTTGTCGAGCAAAACTCGACGATCTGATCATGGGCCACGACGCGTCCTTCCGTCTTCGCACATAGCTGTTTTACGGCAGCGGACTTCGTGCGAATTCCATCGTCGCTCAAGACGTGCAGGAGAGCTTTGGAGAATTCGGTTGCCTCGATACCAGGTGCTGCCTTTCGGCTTCCGTTCACACCAATGCCCAACCATTCCACTCGTGTCGCACAATCATAAGTGTCAAGCCATTGGGGCAGAACGACCTGTGGAACTCCGACTCTGTAAGATGGGTGTGTTAGTAATGGTTCCAATCGTGAACAGATTCCGAACCGTTGGGCCTGTTTTCAACTTACTTGCATGCCTCGAAATATGAATTAGCTCCTCCATGATGCACGTAGGAGATTATTCGTCCAGTTTCCAGGACGGACATAATGTCAGGTTGGATCCAAGAAACAACCCGTACCGAGCCAGCGGTAATGAGTGAGCCTAGGACTTTTTGGAACGCCGATGAACTCTCCCAATCATATCGCAGCTTCCAAAGAACTTGGATATCTGGCTGCTTGGATAGTACTGTTGCGATTCCCTTGGCCATGTCAACGGCAATTTTCTCGGTTGGCTTGACATGGGACCCGAGACTGATAAGAATTGTAGGCTTTTGAAGCCAAGCATCCATTTCGGGGTCCTGTTCAGACAACGGCCGACACTTTCGGAGAATTGGGCCGCAGCTAACGACATTGTCCGGTATCTCAAAAGGAAAATCCAGCTCGGGGAACGCGGGAGTGAGCTGCAAAGCGTCTTTTTCGTATGCATTTGGTAGAGGGAATGGATTGCGCCCTTCCGGCTTCTTTCCATCCTTCACCTCATCGGGTACTGGCTTTCCGAATGCCAAAGTCATGACGACACGGAAAATCAGGTACATGTTGTGAAGCACGAGCTTCCAAGGCACTGGGAAGGGAAACCCAGATCCGGTCCTAAGGAACCATTAGCAATTGCAGATTCCCAGTCAAATGATAGTCTTGGCTTACACTGGGTACTTCCAGAGAACTGCAGCCTTTGGTTGAATTACTACAACCACGTCCTTGAGGGGGACAGGCCATAGCACGGTGAACCGAGTCTTTGTGGCATGGCACGCATCTATACCAACGTGGAGAATTGGGTCCACGACAACCATGGCCGGTTGAAGATTATTCACAATATCGACACAAGCATCGTACGCTTGTTTATACTCGGAAGGCCTCCAACTCTCCATAGCCCGGCCAACCTTGGCAAATCCCTGTGTCGCGCCCTTAACGCCGGGCTTGTGGAAAAGAAGTCCGACGCAGCTGCGAATCGCCAAGTCGGTCATGCATGGCGAGGGAATTTCGTGGAATTGAGCGGTGTTTTCGCATCCGGCACGCTTGTGTAAATTATTCACCTCGTCGGCGACGGGTGCGAAAGAAGCGAAATGAACCTTGAAGTCGCCTTTGCGCAAGAACTCCTCCGCGACGGCGAGCGCCACGTTGCATTGGCCCAATTCGCTGTTTGTGAGGAACAAGATGTTCCGAATCGAAGAAGCCATGGTAACCGGCCTAAAATGCAGCGCTTCGATAAGAGAAATAAAGGGGCGTCGCAAAGAATTCTGCGGGGACAAGCGCAATTTAAGCTAGTTGTGAAAGACGAGATAATGATCGCCCCACAGGATTAGTAGGGTTTACGTTCGTTCGATGTGAACGGTTACGCGAACATCTTTTCCCTTTTATTACGCCTATAATTGACTGCGAGCCCGATGTCCCCATCTCATTCTCCACTTTAGTCAAGTTTCAGTGGACGAGGCCCGCCACATGGGACACTAATGGGCTGATTTGCGGCGTTGATCATTTCTATTTGAACTTTCAGCTCGGCAGACTTTTTTCTTGCCCACCCGAGTCTCTCTTTCGAGAGTCCTTCTACGACCGAGGTTCAGGCTTTCGCTCTACCATAAAACAAACTAGAGTGGAATTGAAACACTGGGCGAGGGGCTGATTTTTGAGGCGACACGAAACAGTGGTTGGAGGGCGGTGTCTGGTTGGATTGTGAGGGATAACCCCCGAGCCAGGACCCTGGTCCGAGCATACAAACTCTATTTTTTGGCAAGACGAACCGCAGCCAGCGATATTGAGTGGGTCGATCGGCACTACCGAAATCACTGACGCAGGTTAATCTGTAGCTGACAGGTTGACACGGAGGAACTTCTCCTTTTTATCAAAAAGCCTCCCGTGAAAACTGTCGCGTTTTCTCAAGAATTGTGAAACAATGCAACATTGTTGAGTATACCTCGACATCGTATCGTTTTCGAAGGAAACCCCCAGGGTGTCCTTCTCCCGATGCATCGCCAACAAACCAGACGAGTGGGTAGTACAATCAGCTTCGGAGCGACAGCCTATCCATGCCAAATCCCCACAAGGGTTTGCCTTTTATAGTTAGAAATCAATTCTCGGTTAATTTCATCTCCCAGATATCGTGACAACGACCAGGGGTAACGTTGACTATCTAAGATTTGAGCAGGGGGCAATGTCACCCAATGTATTCACTGTTAAATTGACGTAAGAGTCTTCGGCATTGCACGCACCATCTGCCATGGCTTGAATATCATTGCTTGGAGTTTCTCTTGCAGAGCCCTACGCCCCACGCAGTGGCCCCATCCTTCCAGAAGACAAACTTTCTCAACGTGAAACACAACACGGGATCCACAACTATGTACAAAGACCATGCGTGGTCTGGAAGCTCAGTGATATTCTCCACATGCTTCTAGCTTATATCCGAATAAACCCATATTTATAGTTTAATATTCCAAGGTTCGACCCATCGAGCTATATCTCTCGACACTTCTGTTCTTGAACCAATGCAGGCCAATGCAGGGGGCATCGATTCGCTCGTTGCAATAACGCCGCAACTTTTTCAAGTGAACTGTCTCGATTTGAATCCAAACATGCCATCGACCCCCGAATATCTGAGCGGAAAGCTGCTCGATCGTAAGGGCACTTTTGTGGAGGCGGGGTCATTTTTGATACCAGAAGGGATAGATAAGGATGTTATCGGGCTAGAGAAGACGGGTTTATGCGTTAGGTCTAGGCTTGCTAGTGGATCAGGGTAATGGTAGATCATTCAGTGTTCAATCTAACGGAAGCGCTCTTCAGGCTTACCTTCATGACTCGGCAGGTCTTCTTGACATCAGAATCGCAACGTATGTCACTAAAATCGATGCCACGAAGACGAAGCACGCCAAGGAAAAGACAAGCAGGAATATGCGTTTCGGATCGGCTTCTTCTATATCTTCATGCGGTGGGTAGTTTCCCGCTGGAGGAGATTCCTCGCCATACACTTCATACCGAAGGTCATTTATCGATGGGGGTGTAATTGACGAATAGCTGCGATCTAAATAACTCTTGCTTTTCCACATGGCTTTGGGAGGTAGACTGGGAGTTTTAAGAAGGAAGTTTCTCCGACGGAGTGGTCGTTCTTAAAAGACGATATATGGGACGATCAAAAAAAAAGGAAGCGGATGGATTTCAGCGCTATCGAACTTGGAAAAAGGAATTCTGCAACAAGTACCCACTGTGATTTCGACATGTTTTCGAAAATAGGATTTTTGATTTATGTATCTGCAGCCACAAAAATAAGTAGCACTTATGTGTCCCTTGCCTGCATGCGACCGACAATGTCTTGCGAGCTGGCGAAGCCACACATTGCTTGCATTCCAAACTCTTCCAAAACACAAATTAGGAAGTGTGCGGAGGATTTCCGATCGCAATCTTCGAATAATAAAATTTTTGGGTCAAAGAAGATACTTCCTCTGTCTTCATTCAAATATCACGACATCATGAATGGAGGCCATCCGATTGGGTCGGTGATTGATCACATTCCTACGGAATAACCCCAACCTTCGACGCATGTTCCTTCTGGCACGCTTTTCAAATGCGTGATAATGTCGAAATATTTGCGAAAGCACTGGTTTTATCTTTTCCGATATGTAATTTGCTAGAATTAATGCAGGGTTCATACGTAGAACAATTTATGTGCTTTTTCTCTTCAATAGGATCGACGATCTGCATAGACTGCGACAAGGAGGTGACACTGCATGCAATTTTGAACTACACATCAGCTAGTCTTACATTTCAGCTCCCCACAAAGTCGTTAGTCTTTTTTATCAGGTGGCGTCTTTTCATGCAATGTGATTGGATTTCCATTTAAATCGCTATCGAGTGAGAGGTATTTGATGACGAATTTGAGAGAACTTGGAAGTACTGTACGCCGAGGTGGGTGTAGCTATTTATTCAAAATAGCTCGATGTGTCAACCTCAACTTTCCGAGCCAAGTGTCGTGTTGAAAAGGGGTTGACCCTACTCAGGCTCATGGTCCGCTCCGCAAATCCGAGGCATCGCTCTTCTGCCACGGATGTTCTTTCTCAACTGCGTTGATCAAGGCCTCGTGCTCGGCTGAACGGGGCGCGATGTTGAATTTCCATGGAGCAGGATGACTTATCACGCCAGGCAGGAATTTCGGGCCGATGTCGATATCAGCGTCGCCATTGGCGCTTTCGACATTAAAGACCGCCAGTGATTGCGCAATGCTCAGGTACAACGTGTTGTCGGCGAGGAAGCGACCGGGGCATACACGCCGCCCAAATCCGAAGGCCATGCCGCGTGGATCCATTTCAGAGGCCCTATCATCCGAGGTGATGAAGCGCTCTGGATTGAATGACATCGGGTCATGGTAAGTCTCCGGGTCGTGGGTAAAAGCCCTTCTGATTGTCAGTCTACGCATGACAACGATACAGTTGCCCACTCACCAGATGTTGGGCATGATCAGAGATCCTTTCGGGATGTGAAATTCGCCCCAGGTATCATCTTCGATCGACATATGTGGAATACCCATTGGCGCAACTGGATGCCACCGAAGCACCTCCTTTACCACCGCATTGACGTAAGGAAGCCGAGAGCGATCGGCCATTTTCGGCAGCTGGCAAGTTCCCAAAGCTTGATCGATCTCTTGTTGCGCTTTGCGTTGTACCTCCGGGAAAAATGTCATAGCTAGGAAAAAGGTTTCAATAGCACAAACAGTCTATATCCATTAGTTAGGAGTCTACAATGTTTGTTGGATTCCATACCGTGTCAGCTCCACCCGTATAAAGTGATGCCGATGTCCATTTCGCAACTATCTCCTCCTCAGTTCCAGATTTCGGACACCCGTTTTCTTTAAAAAGATCAGAGAGATATGAAGTCTCGAATTTTCCGCTGATCATTTTCTCTTTCACAAAGGTATACGGTATATCTGCAACATCTTCCAGATTTCTCTTCCAATCGTGCGCCTTCCGCTTGAAACTAGCTCCTGGGAACCAGGCTGGAACGAATTTCACTGGGGAAGATGGTTACTTTCGACGGTTTCACGAGTATGTGCAGAGGCTTACGGGCGGGAATCATGTCCACTAGCCAGGCACCTGGTGTTCCGGCGATGGAGAAGTGCTCTAGGGCTAGGTTCGCAATGTGGATAAGGCGATCACGCTTGTGTGGCTCAATCGTATAACCATATGCAATCTTCAGAATAACAGCGCCAGCTTCACTAGACAAGATGTTATCGATGATTAAAGTGCAATATTTTTCTCGGAAACATCCACTCACGTTTGAATATGCTCGGCAAGTTTTGTTTTGTCTTGCAGCACACGAAACAGAAATCTGTGGGATTCAATTTCTTGTAGTGTGTTATACTGGGCCACCGCTTGCTCTGATCCCAGATATGGCTGTATTGCTTTCCTATAAGCGCGGAAGCGATCAGAGTATGTCTGCATTGCCAGTATGTGCTCCCACCCAACCCTAATGAATCTAACTTTAGTGTCGTGATCCCCCGAAAACGGCTTGGATCACTTACATCTCTGATGCGAAGACTAAATTTGGGCGCGAAGAATGCTTGGCCGAACGTTTCCCCAGGAGCTCCACGGCGAGTTAAATGTCATTCAAAATCACTATTGTCTGGCCCATGACTGTGATTGAGCTGATTGGACCTGTATGACATGGTTAGTATGCGAATCATACCGTGCTCCGGGAAATTCTTAGTCTCTCGAATACTGAGTCAAGTACCGTAAAGTTGCTTGTGCTTTAGCCAGTGGACCCAATCCTGGGTTCCTGTCACCGGTAGGTCCGATACATTTCCAATGATGGGCTTTCCTGGAGGGCCTGGGGGCAGTGGTCTGGTATTTCTCCTCTCTTTCATGGACCATTTGATCACAAATAGCAACAGAGCTCCAAGTATCGCGCTCCAAAGCATGGGTGACATGATGGTGCCTGTAGGTGTTGTTATGTAAGTGTAACCAGGCAGAATGAGGGGGCATCAATCATAAGTGAGAGGAAATTCGAGCGCCTCGCGTCTCATTTTATTCACCTCCAGTGCTATTGGCCTATTTCCACACTACCCACCTCTCTTGGGGAATTTCCCGCTGCTAGCAGCACGGCTATCCCCACTCTTGTCGCTTTGACCTGTTTACAAATCAACCATACTACGGCACGCCATAGGATGGTCAGTAGTTGTTTACAATGGCGTTGCAAATGTTTCTAACCTCCTATTGCCCACAACTTTTGACTGCCTTTTGATGGCAGACTAGTAGCTACCTAAGATTGAATAGAGTAGCCAATCTATTCTATCTTGGGTAGCTACTAGTTCACCTTCGGAAGGCGGAGACCAGGCCGGTCAACACAGGCTTGAAAACTTTGTAAAATATCTATGTATACAACTACTGGCCACCGGAGCGCCGTAACCATGCCTACGCCGGCTTGACACTTGAGAACCTTGGAATTGCTACGGTAATCCGTTTTCGATGTCTCCGAATTCGAGAGTACCTGATCTTCAAAAAATTGCTATTGTGGTCTTCCCAAATGCGAATACATGCCACTATGTATCTGCAATATAAAAAAGCCTCTCGCTTTTCCCGGACTTGAAATACAAATTGGTCGATAAAGCTTGCTTTCTCTGGTCGAGAGGGATCTCACAGACTGACGAATTTATTTCCATCTGCATGTATGAGTTTCAGGAACGAATCCACGAGTTGATCCTTATCTGTAGCATTCGCTTTTGAAATTGCTTCTTCAACCCTGCTGCGGCTAGCAATCAAATTCTTCGCAACTTGATTCCAGTTAATACTCTGAGGCAAGATATTCACTTCGGGCAGACTCGGTGTGATTTCTACCGGAAGAAGTCTGCCATTCTCCTTCCGAATATGGCCATCGACGATAACCATGTCGACGTCCCTAACAGAAGAATGAAGAACAATAGCCGCGACCGGGTCTTGCTCAGAGGCACAAATCATACCGGGGCTTTCCCCGTCGAATATGACGATATCGGCAAGTTTCCCAACAGTCAGTGAGCCCAGACTCTCGTCCATGTGAATTGCTCGAGCTCCCTGGATTGTTCCTAGTCGGAAGACATCTTGAACAGAAAGATTCAGAGAGCGCGAAAATTTTCCTTCCGCAATTAGCCGCTCGTTGCGGTCTGCTCTTTCATGTTGTAATGCTAGGCGCATCTGTGAAACAATATCGGCCGAGTTGTTGCTGTGGCAGTCAATACCCAAAGAGGAAATGTCAGTACAACCTTCCCGGAAGCAGACAATATTTCCATGTCCCATTTGTAACTCAGTATCCGGAGTCGTCGATATCCACGCCCCTATTTGATTTAGCTTGTTGATATCACTTGCTGTCAAATTAGTGGCATGTGAGAGCAGGATATCTGGTCCCAAAAGGCCATAGCTCTCAAGCGTATCGACCACCGAATCTGGACCTATCATTATAAGGTCAGTATGTTGGTCCGAAGCGATCCCTTAATTCGACTCACCAAAGTAAAGTCCAGCATAATGAGTCGTTATCACTCTTACTCCGAGCTTCCGAGCTTTGTTGTAAATAGAAACCACTTGATCTCGTGGCAACAAAAACCCATAAAAAGCGAGCCCCAGTTGAACTCGCCCGTCTCCAAAAGGCGCAGCAGTGCCGAGACTTTCGAACAGCTCTATGACCCAGTCATCCAGCAGCCCTCCGTCAATGGTTATCTCAGGCGTCCAGTCCTTGGTCTTGGCGGTTGGCGCATAGCAAAATACCGATCGAATCCCTGATGAAACCGTAGCCTCGATCGCGTTTGTGGCTGAAAAGCACATTAGTCCCGCTGTATATCTGATAGCATTAGAGTAAGCACTCACTATGGGCCGGTGAAATGTTGACATGGGCATGATCAACCAAGGTCGTTGTTCCTGCATCCAGAGCTTCCAGACAACCTCCTAGTTCACCCCAAAATACATCCTCCGGGATGTAGTTTACACTTTGCATATTTCCTACGTCAGTGCCGAGGGATTTAGAAAAAAAGAATCTGCTAAAAATAAACTGCTCATCGACCAGCAAAGGGGCACGCACCATTGGGAAGGTATTCTAGTAAGGTTTGATCAGCATGGCGACCCTTGAGCTGTGTCTGCCACACATGATGATGCGTGTCAATGAATCCAGGCGCTATTATTTTGCCAGTACAATCGAATATTTGAGCACCTGTAGGTGGATCGATGGTGGCCGCAATTTTGGAGATCCGTTTGCCCTCGATCAACAATGAATGGCCACGCAGTGGCTTAACATAGTCATTTGGTTGACCAGAGGGGACAAGGATGGTTGCATTCCGAAGTAGAATTTGCGATATCATGCTAGAGTTCATGAATATCTCACACTGTAAGTAGATTCTGGTTGAAAGGTAACCCCCCCAAAAAAGCGAACGGCCTTTTTAAGATGAATCGCTGGCAGCCCCATAATAATAGAGGTGGGGCGTCGCGTTTCGGTCATTCGGCCCCTTGATCTCAGCGAATACCGAAAGACCTTCTTCAATTTGTAACATAAGTAAGGTGTCAAGATCTCTGATGGGGCCAGGCAGGTCCATCGAAGGAAACGGTGTCAAAAGGTCATTGAGGGTGAGTTTGGAACGGATTTAAGAATTGTCAGCGGGGTTAAGCTTCGGACACATTCCAGGTGACGTCATGTATCATGTACAGCTAGAACACAACCCTCCCATTGCCCTACCTTCTTTCAAATGCCTAAACGTTGACTTCAGCTCAGGATACTGTCGCAGATGCTACTAGTAGTTCCTCCTCTTGAAGGGAGCTTTGGCAATGTAAACCTACCAAAATGCCATCGATTTCTGCCAGTGGTTCGGTAATAAGTGATGGTGGTGCCAGGTGGTAGTGGTGGATAAACAACCTACTAGGCCATTGAATTGAGAGATATGCCCAGGTATATATTAACCCTACAAGTGCCTGGATGCATAATACTAGTAGTAATGACTGACCTCAAGTTGTTGATTTGCTACCTAGGTATGATATTTCTGAGTAACTGGTAGATTGCTACTAAGATATGATTCCTGCTAAACACAATTCCAGCCAAGGGTCCTGTCGCCAAATAGCTAGAAGTCAGGAACTTCCTGGCAATCCGGCCCGTACCTATCTATTAGCGACATTATCGGTAACTAGACACTTGTAATCATCCGTGCCGCGGTAAATCGTATAATCATCATTCGGGGTATTTCCGGTGCTGAGATTATCTCCATATTGCCAGAAAAGGTCTGCGCCTATTCCCTTAGTGTCAAGGGCTGTTTGCCGCCACTGGCCCTCGATAGTGCATTTTTCGGTTTTGACCCCATACTCTTCCATGAGACAGGGCTTCTGCGCTGCTGCACAGGCTTTGGCATGAGCCGCAATCCAGCCGTCGCCGAAAGAGTTAGAAACACCCCCTAAATAGCTCATATTAGTATTGCTCCCTCAAGTCGAAGCACTGGGAACGCGAGAGCCAATGTACGTACAAGTAGAAGGGTAGAGATGGAAAGTTCCGAAGTCAATTGTGTCGATTGCCAGGTTCTTTGCAAAGTCGAGGCCCTCAGCGTATGTGAACGGATAGCTCCCGTCTGCGCCAACATCCAAACCAAATCCCTCTGCGTACGAGGTCAGTGATCAGGTAGCGGCGGCTTTAAGGCTTTACTTACCATCTCCAATAGCTACCATGTGCTTGGGATCGAGGGACTTGATATAAGCACTAGTAGATGCAGCCCAGTTATAGATGACAGATATGTTGCAACCACGGCATCGAGGCTCATTAGCCAGCTCCCACGCAAATATCGCGGAAGACTGGCTATATCTCGAAACAACGGCCTTGATATATTTTTGATAGACATCCTGAATTGTTGGACTGGTGTACCAGCTTGTACTGCTGCCTCCAAACGCTGTGGTATATGCATCGATACCCCCATAGTCGGACCAGTTATTGACAAAGTTGATAATTAATTTAATATCCCGCTTCTCAGCGGCAGCAACAACATAATCTAGACGCTGGAGGCCGTCAGAGCCTGTGTTAATGGTTGCATTTCCATTCTGCAGGATCTGGAAGTAGACTTTGCCGTCGGTAGGCTTGCTGTTCACATCACTGAAGCCCCAGATGCGAAGGATGTGGAGCCCGGACTCATGGAGGTGGTCAAGCACGAGGTCAACATCAGCGTCATCGGTGAGGTAACCAATCCAATAAATATTTGTGCCAGCAAAGTAGTCTGCCTGACCGTTGATCGTGAAATTCAAACCATGAGTACTGGGAGCGTCACCGCTGGTGCTGTTCCGACGAAAGTGCGCCCGCGCTGGGTGGAGAATGGTCAGTGTATTGTACTATGTAGCTTCATTGTCTATTGGAAAGTTACCATCTCGTGATTTACCAATTTGGTGAATATTCAGATTGGAAGCTGCTACTTGAGCAACTAGACAGGCGATTGAAAGCAGGATGGTGGAAACTTTCATCGTGGAGGCGATGTTCAAAGGGTTTGAATGACTTCCCCATGACAACCACCGTGACACTTATATATTATATCTTTCCAAGATTGTGAACTGCCAACTCGTAATGAGCTTCGAAGCTCCTTGACTATTATGGATACTCCTCCTTTGTCAATGTTAATTTTGACCCACCCGAGTTCCAAAGCAGGTGATATTTTTGGTGATGGGAAGCTCAACGATTGATATTGCCAAAAGGCCTCTACGAGTACTAGTCTGGTGCTTTCTACTCCCGGTTTCTTGGGGGGACATTTGACTCCGAGTTTCCAGTGGAGCTGTGCATGTATGGTGATAGGCTCACTTTGTAGAGGCTTCTAAATATATCAAGCAACTAATGCAGGCCATTTGCCAGAGACAAATTGCAAGGGGGCCTATGGGTCTGACAATTTCTCGTTCACCGGACGCGGATATCTAAAAGATTCCCCATGAGGTTTGGCTCGATGCTATCCAT